GAAAATGTTAAAAACATAGTTGAAAAAAGTTTCAAGACTTTTCAAAACTTGTATTTGAAAAAAATGCCAATCATACACTTAAAAAGTATTAAGCATATATTTTTTAAATACTCCAAACATAGATGTATACTGGAGTATTTAAAATATATGTGTATCAAAACATAGATGTATACTGGAGTATTTAAAACATCAAAAGATATATGTATCACATGGAGTATATGTTTCAATACACATAAGTTTCAAAACTTGTATTTGAAAAAATGTTAATATGGACGTGTTGTGTTGATTAACATTTTTCCAAATACAAGTTTTTGAAACTTTTTAAAATGCCGCGTACCTTTTTTGTAACACATAAATATTTTTTGAATGTCACAAACACAAGAATATAAATTGTTTTCTTACATCTGGACATGTTGTGTTGTCAGTGGTAATATTAGTTAACCTTGAGCACAAGGTCACATGGTCGAGCCACGGTGCTCATTTTTTCCGTGTTACATTTCTTGTAAAAATTATTTTCAGTCAATGTTTATATGATACAGAAATTAGTCATGCTACATAGACATGAATGATCAGTAGTCTGGTGGTTTCCACGTATGACTACTAGGGCACGTTGCAGCTTCAAGACCCCACATCGCTTGTTTTTTCATTTTATTTTTAGGGGCTTAATACGAAAATAAAAAAAGCCAAAGGCTTCTCTGCAGATCTACATGCTACAGCGGATGACAATGGGCCCTGGCCACACTGGAATGCCACATAACCCATGGATACGTCCGTGTACATGAAATGTGATCGTATATGAACGCTTGTACAAGTTTGATGACCGGAAACATGTATTTTACAAGTTTGTGCACCAAATTGATCATCGCGTGCAAGTTCTGTGACTTCGGGTGTATTTACCTTTAAATTAAACAATAGCGCCTAATTAGCTGAGAAATCAATGAACAGTAAACCACCCGGCCAGAGCTGTCCGCATGCATGCAGTGGTGGAGACCAATTCCCACTCGTGTGCACACCCAGCTGTTCCCACTATGCATGCAGCCAAGTACGCATGCCTAGTACTAGTCTAATTAACTACTCTAAGCAGTAAATGCCAACGCGCCTTAAACCTCACGTATTTTGGAAATGCATGTAAATGAAAGTGTGCCTTATAAACTGTGACAGAGGGAGTACATAGGTTTATAGGCGCGAATAAGTAAATTTACCGGAACCGAATGTAACGGTGAAGCATCCGTCATTCGTGTCAACATCAAGATGCACACTGTCCTTTCACTAATAACCTAAGAAATCTTTTATGCGCTGAAATACATCTCTATACTAGTCTGACACCACCTCACCAATACGTGAACATGCCCTCACAACCTTTTTATTTAGTCATGCACGTGTGCTCACAGACCACTCAACCTATAGTACTAACATTTTACTTCCTTGTTAGCTATTAAATAATTGATATATTTTAAATAAATGTTTTATTTTTACATATTTTTATATATTTGAATTCCTAAAGACAAGATCTTTAAAACAAGACCAATATTCAATATATTTTAGCGTAGTTTGAATTTTACCGTTTCATTCGCTTTGGCATTTAGAAAAAATGGATTTAACTCATTTCAAAAAACTCATTTCACTTTGTTTCAAAAACTGATCTCACAATTAAGAAAACAAATTTGAGTCATTCAAAAATACAGACTTAACTCATTCTAAAATTGATATTACTCATTTTGGAAAACAATTATTCATTTTAGAACACTGATTTCACTAGTATCATTTCAAAGAACTGGTTTCGCTCATTTCTAAAAGGTGATTTCACTCGCTTCAAAAAACTAAATTCACTCATTTTGAAACACTCATCTCACTTATTCCGAAAAACATATTTCACTCATTTACAAAAACAATTTCACTCATTTCAGAAAACGGATTACGCTCGTGTGATTTTTTAAACTCAATTTAAACACGGATTTCACATATTTGAAAACACATATTACATTCATTTCAAAGAACTGGCTACACAAAATTCGTAAAACTGATCTGACTCATTTTAAAAAACTCATTTCACGGTGTTAAAAAAATGATTTCACTCATCTAAAAAAGCTGATCTCACTCATTTCAGAAAAATAATTTGACCAAGTTGAGAAAACATATTTCACTCATCATCATATTTTAGTTTGAAATGGATTTCACTCAGCACAAAATACTGAGTTCACTTGTTTAGAAATTGATTTTACTCAAAGCAAAAAACTTATTTCAAATATCTCAAAAAATTGATTTGACTCAATTCAAAAAACAATTTCACTTGTTTCGTAAAACAGATTTCACTCATTTAGAAAAAAAGTTCTAAATAATTTGTTTCACATGTTTTACACAATGAAAAAAATAGTGCACTACAGAAAATAGTGTGGCCCCTGAAAATATGCTATTAGCGTGCTATAGCGCGCTATTAGCGAGGCATTGTACATTGATTTATTTAGCGAGACAATTCTCTATATGCTATAGCGTGCTATTAGCGGCGTTATAGCGCGTTATTTTTTTTCAGTGGTTTTACATGACTAGTTTCAAAATTCTAAAATAACAATTTTCACATATTTCACACCAAAAAATGTGTCATGTATATGAAAAACAGATTTCACTAATTTATAAAAAAGGTTTTAAATAATTAGTTTTGAATGTTTTACATAACTAGTTTAAAAAATCTGAAATAAAAAGTTTCACATATTTCACACACAAAAATGTGTCATGTGTATGAAAAAACAAATTTCACTAATTTATAAAAAAGGTTTTAAATAATTAGTTCCACATGTTTTACATGACTAGTTTCAAAATTATGAAATAACAAGTTTCACATATTTCACACCAAAAAATGTGTCATGTGTATGAAAAACATATTTCACTCATTTTAAAAAATTGGTTTCACCCAATTCAAAGAACATATTTCACTATTTTCAGAAATCTTATTTCACTCATTTCATACATTGAAATTTAGACTTGTTTGAATGTATTCAAGATTGATCTTGTTCTAAAGGTGTTGGCTCCAACAATTCAAATTATACAAAGTTTTGAAAACAAATTTTTTGTTTTGAAGATATGAACAACCTAAATAGTGAGAAGGGAATTAAAAGTGACGGATTTAGAGATGGAGAGAGGAGAGATAATGTCAGAGATATGCAGGTCATAGTCTACCCTGAGCGGTAAAAAGAGAGAAGTAGGACCATGCATGCGTACTTTGCATGTGCATGGTGGGTCCGGTTTGATGAAATATGTTGACTTAAATAGAGAAAAGAAGGGAATACAAATGTGCACAGGTACATACCGGAACCGGTAATATACACTTGCGTTTACAGGTGTTTTACAGGCAAGTGGGTTTTGATTGGAGATTAAGGGGGAGGAGGGGCCACCCCAGTGAAAATCAAGGGGGGAGAGGTTAGTAAGAAAGACAGAATCCTAGTCAGCGTGTAATTGCGTGTAACTCTTTGTATGTTTAGCATTATTGATTAAGAGGATATCAATTACTTATACATCCGAATTTTGCAACAACACGACATCGAGGATGCACACTTTAAAATTAAATCATACCTCAACTAAACAACATGTACTAAATTAGAGGTAAGCTTTACATGTGCTCATCTTTGAAAATTACGAAAATGTTATTCGGGGAACGTCAATTTTTTGACCAGCGGACGCGTCGGATGCCATTTGATTATCTAGCATGGATCGCAGCGCAAGGATGATGCCACGTCAGGATTTTCTATTAGTTCGTTGCGCCCAACTCCCTGGCGAACGTCATATTTTTATGCTCCACCACAAGAAGTACCATCAAGTGGCACAGAGGATGTGAACAATGTATTAAAAGTTGCTATATATACTTTACAAGTTCTTTCAAATTTGTTTTTTCATTAAAAAACAAAAATCCTCATTTTATTTTCATTTTTGAAAGAACAAAAATCACTATTTTTCAGAGGGAACTTATTCTAAACTTGCCATGTGCATTTTTATTATAGGTAGCATGGCCTTTTTCTATTAAAACATGACATTATTTTGTCTTTCAAAACATGGAAAAAAATGATCATTTTTTGGAAAAGTTTCATCAATTTGAAAATTATTCGTGGAATTTTAAAAAGTTCAGGAAATTTGTAAAAATATTATGAATTTGATTTTTTTACAAAGTCAATAAATGCTAGTCAATTCAGAAAACAAATCGTTGATTGAAAAAAGTTCATGAATTTTATGAAAAAAATTCATGAATTCAAGAAATATTCACGAATTTTACAAAGTTAATCAATTCCAAAATTGTTTGTGAATTAAAAAACAATCGCAAATTCAAAAAAGTACATGAATTTGAAAAGGTTCACTAATTTGAAACATATTCACATATTTAAAAATAGTTCATGAACTTGGAAATTTTTACGAAATTGAAAAAATCATGGGTTTGGAAGTTGGTTACTATTTTATAAAAATCCTAAATTCTAAAATTATTCATGAAAATTTCAAGAAAATAAATAAAAATATAAAAATTCAAAGATAAAAAAAAGATGAAAATCCTCCGGAAGCTTCACAAAAGCAATGTGAATGAAGAATCTAACATCTTCACAAAACCAGAGCGAAGCACAGGATCCGAGCGCATTACAGCGTGACAGATGGCCGGCCCATTAGCAAAATAAATCTTGTACGCGCTTTGACAACCGGTCACTCCCACTGATACGACGGGCCCACCACCCCTCCTCCCAGCTACACCGCACGTGCCCGGGGCGATCGGCTATGAACGCCTTCCAAACCCGGATCGCTTTAACTCGGCCAATTATTACCGCGCAGGATACCAACCCTGCCCTTCATCCCTTGCTTGGACGCGGGACGACCTTCGAGGGCAGAGAGGTAAAATCGCCACCCGGGGCGTTCGCAGTGCCGCTTTTTAAGCAGAGCGGCGGCCGCGTCCTCCTCCAGTCCACCACCACCTCGCGAGCTCCGCACTCTGACGGGAAGAGAGAGAGAGAGAGAGAGAGGAGAGGGGAATGGCGTCGAGGGTGCCGACGTGGAGGGAGCGGGAGAACAACCGGCGGCGCGAGCGGCGCCGGCGCGCGGTGGCCGCCAACATCTTCCACGGGCTGCGCGCCCGCGGTGGCTACGCGCTCCCCAAGCACTGCGACAACAACGAGGTGCTCAAGGCGCTCTGCGACGAGGCCGGCTGGACCGTCGAGCCCGACGGCACCACCTACCGCAAGGTCCGTCCCGTCCCTCCCTCCGTGCAAACTCATTCACCTTCTCCTTCCTCTCCTCTGTCTCGACGCCGTTTTGCTTCATGCATGCGTTCGTGCGCGCGGCTGTACGGACGTACGTACATCAATTCTTGCCGAGCTGTGGGACGATCTGATATTCCTTCTCATTTGGTTGAGCTCTTTCTTTTCTCGGTTCAGCGATTAATTCCTTCCGGATCGAGTGATCTCTTTCTTTTTAGGGTGGATGGATTGAGCCGTAGATTTCCGTTCCTCTCAGCTGGTTTTGCTATGGTTTGCTTTGATTTCCTTTTCGTGTTGAAATTCTCCCTTCAATGGTTCCTTTTCTTGATCCTTTATCACCTAGGTCGTCTCATCCGTTCCCTGCGAGATTTGAGACTCCCTTCTTATGTTTGCACATGTGGGACAAGGCAAAGGGGAACCACACGCACATCATTACGTAAGTGTGTGTTTGTGTGCCTGTTTCCAAGCAAAAGCTATAGATAGAATTGCAGCAATGCGTATTGCTTCTTTTCCCCGTATTAAGTGAGGAGGCCTGTAAAGTTTTGTGATTTTTTCTTAATGAAATTAAATCTCCCGTGAAAATGCCGTTATAGCCCCGCTATAGTTGTTGGGAGCCTCGGCACGCTATGGCCACAACCGCGAAATGCTCCGAATATCCCGCTGAACGATCCAAAGTTCAGCAATAACCTAAAGAAATCCTCTCTCCTGTCCGGAAAAGTTTCCGCTATAGCCAGCTATAGTTGTTGGGAGCCTCCGCGCAATGCTATGGCCACAACCGCAAAATGCTCCGAATATCCCGCTGAACGCTCTAATGTTCAACAATAATCTACAGAAAAATCCTCTATCCTGACCGGAAAAGTTTCCGCCATAGCCGCGCTTGCCCGCTATACGACTGCTATAGCTGCGGAGAGAACCCACCGTGAAATCATTTCTCCCGTGATTTGTAACTTTTTTTCCAAAAAATGTGAGGAGATTTGCTCTTACTTGAGGGAATGAGGGGGTCTTCTGCTATTCTTCTTGATCTCACTTTCTTTTCTTTCTCGTGTCTTTTTAGGCAAGTAAGGGTGTAATGTACCAAAGCTCCTAGCTCCTTTCTTTTTTCAGTTAGCATCTCTGCTATGCATCGAATCTGTTCACTGTCCAAACATTTGCCACAATCTTGCAAAGCCATGCTTTAGCAAGTACCCCCCTGTAAAGAAATATAAGAGCGTTTAGACTCTTATATTTTTTTCTATGGAGGAAGTAGTTAAAAAAATTAGTAGACGTACGTGCTTGGATAGAAGAGTTCATGCGAGAGAAAAGGCAGGTAAAGAATCAATCATGGGGACAAAAGTTAGTGGCGTGGTCATATGCAGGTGCATATGGGCGGTGCATGACCGAATATTTTCATCAAAGGAGCTAAGACTGTCAAAGAAGGCAGGGCTTTGATTTCAGAAGACCGTTTTGCAATACAAAATGACATTCTAGAGACGAGCATGCTCTTTCCTTTTTTCCTTTTTTCGTGCAATCAGCCTTTATGAAAGTGTGTCGCCGCCAGCATTTGGCATTGCGACGGCTGTACTATACAGGTGTTAAATGAAGATAAATGAATCTTCCTTGGCACGTGCCAATATTGTTCTCCTTCCGTCATCAGAAATCAGCTGGTATGGAAGGAGTACACATTATGCATGTAGTAACATAGACTAGGCTTGTACCTACCTCTAGTGCCCAGTTGATTATCTTGTCCCGGTAAATATGCATTTGTCCGGCAACACACTGTAATCTCACACGAATGAGATGTCAAACAAAATTCACAATGTCACACACTCACACTAACTTATTCATTTTTCAGGGTTGCATGCCTCCAGCAGCAGCAGAAGGTGCCAACCCGGTGGTCCGGTCGGGCTCCCGAAGCCCGTGCTCGTCGCACCAGGTGAGCCCGCGGGCCCCGTACAACCCGAGGGCAGGGCCGTCCACCTTCCCGACCTCCGGCACGTCCTCGCATACCACGCTCGGCGGCGGCAGCAGCTACTATGAGGGCAGCTCCTTCATCCCTTGGCTCAAGAACCTCTCCTCCGGCTCCGGGTTCGCGTCCTCTTCCAAGTTCCCGCGATACTCGCCCCACTCGTACGACTACTTCAGCGGTGGCTCCATCAGCGCGCCGGTGACCCCGCCGTCTGGCTCGCCGCGGCGCATGCCCCACCTCAACACGGGATGGGGCGAGTATCCGAGTGTCCAGGTCCAGCCGCCATGGTTCAGCGCCGGCGGCAGCGCCTACGACGATTACGCCTCTCTGCCCAACTCCACACCGTCGAGTCCCCGCGGCGGCCACGGGGTCGGTCCAGACCCGGCCTGGCTCTCCGGTTTCCAGATATCGTCAGCCGGCCCGTCGTCTCCGACCTACAGCCTCATGGCTCCTTCGAACCCCTTCCGAGTCTCCGGGGAGATGGCAGCGGCCACCGCGAGCTCTTCGAGGATGCGCACCCCGTGTCAGAGCGGGACGTGCTCGCCGGTGGCGCTGGCGGCCCATGGCGACGTCCAAATGGAGCACCGTGAGGCGGATGACTTCGCGTTCGGGAGCGGCGGGAGGCCGGTGCTGGTGAATGCGTGGGAGGGGGAGCGCATCCATGAGGTGTGCGCCTCGGATGAGCATGAGCTGGACCTCACCCTCGGGCTCGGGAGCTCCAAGACCCGCGCAGGCGCAGTGAACTGAATCATCAAGGGAGAGAAGAGATCGATGGAAGCTACCGCCATAGGAATTTCGTCGGATTTCCATTTTGGCAGACTATTTCCGTCCTGTTTACAGGATCTGAACTTCAGTTTTGCTAGAACTATCGTCAAATTTAGCCTATCTTTTTGCGAATTCTCTCTCACTTTCTCTTTATACTGTTCTTAAGAAGAAAACATGCCAAGGGAAGGGAACCTGCTGTGTTGTGAAACTTGAACAGACAGTTGAATTATCAGAATCAGAGATATATGTCGATTGATTATGTTTGGCAGTTTGGGTAATGTTTCCTGTGATTTCCATCCATACTTTTTCTTCATCTTTCTTGCTCTTTTGGTGCAGCTGCTAATCGAAGTTATGAAACACTTGCTAGTTCCTTTTTAACAGAGAAGTATCTTCTTCTCTTGTTTTATGCCCCCTCCGTTTTTAAATATAAGTATTCTTAGAGATTTCAGTATTGAACTACATAGGGATGTACATAAACGTAGTTTGAAGTATAGATTCACTCATTTCGCTGCGTATGTACTTCATATTAAAATACATAAAAAGACTTATATTTAGTGAGGGAGGGAGCAGAACAGTGTCCTCTTCTTCGTTTCATAGCTATTTTGTTTGGGAGCAGCTCTTGAAACAGGCTTTCGCCCTGCTTTAAAATAAAGCAAATGACCAAACAGCTCAGGTGCCTGAATATTTTCTTTGTTTCAGTCTATTGTTCCTTGAAATGTTTGACTCACATCCAACGAAGTTAATTGTTCTGATTTAAGTTCCAGTCAATTCCAATACTCACCCCGATCAACGCCCAGCTGACAGGAAGTGCTACTATCTAAGCCCAACCGATCAAAAGTTCAAAAAAAAAAGAGATATTTTTCTTTGTACATGACCACACACTATACATAGAAAAAACTGCATAACCATCGAGAAAAGCGATTCTCTCATGCACGGGAGGTCCAGTGCATGCATCCATCGCTGGATTAGGCTGGAGATCCGAGTGCATGCAAACTATGCTTTGCGTATACGTATAGAGTATGCCGTTCGCATTAATATAGCATTGTATCATGTCAGTCCACTTAATGCCATGCATGCGTTTCTCTCTCTCTGCTCACAAACTATGACACATGCATGGCTGCCAGCATCTCCTCTCTTCCTCTCAAAATCCATCATTTTTAGTTTCCTTTACAAAATCTATTATCTTTGAAACCAAAATTCCTTTTTTGGAAGTTTTTTTATATTTGAACTCATCGCATCAAGACCTTTAGAACAAGATCAACTTGGATAGATTCTAAACACGTTATAATTTTGACCTTTAGAAATTTTTAATGATTAAATCAGTTATTGAAATGATTCTTAATGAGTGAAATACAAATAAAAATTGAGTGAAATTATTTTATTGAAATTAGTGAAATCATTTTTCTGAATTAAGCAAAATTAGTTTGTTCCAAATGAATAAAAGCATTGTTTGGAATGTGTAAAGTCAACATTTTGAGATAAATGATTATTTTAAATGACTGCAATATGCTTTTTAAAATGAGTCAAATCAGTTTTAAAAAATGAGTGAAATATGCTGATGAAATTGAAACTCAATTAAAATATATTCAATATTAACCTTGTTTTAAAGAGCATGTCGTTAGGAATTGATGAATTAATATCTCACAAGAAAATAAAATGTTAGTTTTTGTATGGATAGACTGGTTCCGCACGGGGATGACATTTAATTTGCATTACTGGGCCCATGTACTTAATGTTGATGAATAGTTCTAGACGTATGAATAAGGTATTCTACAAAGAGTGCCAACTAGACCATGCACGGGACCTTCCGTGCATGGTAGAAAATCCAGTCTCCATAACCATCACCAAGTATATAAGCTTTGCTTTTGCTTTGACACGTATATTACTCTGTAGTTATAAAAATTCAAGAAGGATAAAAGAGGGAATTTAGACCATAATTCCAATATATTATATTAAAATCATTGAGGATCAATGTATCACATGAAAATTAAAATAACATAGATATTTCGACAATGTAATAATGACCATTCAAAATAGTGAACTGAAAAATCTAGAATTGAAAAGGTACAAATAAAAAAAGAATAAATATCGACCGGGAAATCCAAAAAAGGCAAAAAGCAATATATTTTAAACTAAGGAATATATTTTAAATAAGAAATGTGACAAACAAAAATAAGAAAAAACATGTCCAAATGCTTTAGAACTCTTGAAGTGGTGTTACCTAAAAAAGCAAATGAATGAAAATATAAAGAGAGAAGAACATGTTTCTTTCTGAGGAAGTGGTGTTATAAAAAAAAATGAACAAAGACAAAAACAAGGAAAAAATTATTTCTACAGAAAAAGGAATTACAGGTGTGGTTTAACCATAAAAAGAGAAGAAATCACAGAAATATATATACATTTACGCATAACATGAAAAATCATAAGGGTCTGTCTAGGACACATTATGTTACATTTAAGCTGATGTTCACTCTGTTTGTGGTGTATATTTTTGTCCTAGTTTCTTTTGTTTTTTGTTGCTGCATTATATAGTTGTGGGAGCTTAGATATGACATCCTTAAAAAACATCTAGATGTGAATTAGACAAACTGAAATCATAATGACTTTTGCTTCTATTCTTGTACGTGAGAATAAGAATATATCGAAAACTTGCAAAACAATTACGTAAAACTTGTACTGTTATCTACTATGCAAGTGTAAACTAGTGCAACTTTTGCCATTTGAGTCGATACAACTGAGCTCAACGGTGGGCGTCCTTGACGGAAACGAAAACGGAGTATACATGTCGAATGAGAGAGAAACGAGCAGCTGGACGCGGCGGAGTCGATCAAAAGCTAGCTCATCCAAACAAACGACGAGCTTATCTTGGCTGTCATGAGAGTATCTACATCCGAGGGTCTCAAACTCTACTATATGCCCGGGCGGACGGCCCGGTGATTGCCCGGTCATAAAATTTCAACATAGACGGACGCTTCAGACCCCAAACTCGCTGCCGCATCCCAAGACCAGCTCTGACCCTGCCGTCGATGCCAACGTCCACGACGCAACTGCTCAGCCGGATGGCGTCGGCGGAGACGGTGCTAAGCACGCCCGACGTGGCCAGCCTGTTGCACAAG